TAAGCAGACATAGATCCCAGAAGTTTCTTAGTTCCATGCCTGATTCAATTTCATAAATGACTCAAGAGGTTGTATGGCAGTGGGATTTAAAACTTTAAATTGAAAGTTTCATTTCAATGAGATGTGCATTTAATCTGTGAATCATTTTTTAAAGGTTTTTATTTAATTTTTTAGACAGAGGGGAAATGAGGGAGAAAGAGAAGGAGAGAAATATCAATGTACAGTTGCCTCTCATGAACCTCCAACTGAGGACTTGGCTTGCAACCCAGGCATGTGCCCTGACTGGGAATCGAACCACCGACCCTTTGGTTTGCAGGCTGGCATTCAATCCACTGAGACACACCAGCCAGGACAAATCTACGAATTATTTTTTTAAAACTCCTTAGAGACAAATCTTCTTCCCCAAGCTTATACATCAGTATGAAGTTCATTGTAAGAAATAAAAATTGATTGGTATTTTCTAGATCAAACATAAAACAGCACAGCATTGCATTTAAAAATGTTCCTCAGCAGCATTGTAGACAGGTTTTGGCCTATTCACTATTTTGTGAAGGCAGCAAGAGTTGGGATGGGAAGGAATTCAAGCCAACAAAAACTTAACATCAATTTTCCCAACAAGACATTTTCATTACCTCAAGTTTATCTCTCCCATTGTCCCCCAAGCTCACTCTGCTCAGTTCTACTGCAGATCCTTTGTGGGTTTTTTCTCCCTGGTCAATCACTGACTTAGATTGTCCCCCACTCTCTTCTTGGTTTACCCACAGCCTACATGACTCTGATGGTTCAACTCAAGCCCTACCTCCTCCATGAAGCCTTCCCCAACCTCTCCAGCCACAGTGCATTCTTTGTCCACTGATGATCTGCTATATATTTTATATTCATCATGTACCACTTTATACTGTCAGTCGTCAGTTTCATCTCCAGCTTGTCTCTCTCTCCCATGCTCTAAATTCATACTGCTAATTACCTGTTGAAAATCTTCAGGACTATTACTTGCTAGCACCTTCACTCATCATGCCCCAAACACACTTCATCATCTTCAGTGGCAACCACCCACCCAGGCAACACATATACACTCATGCACACACACCCCTCCTATTTTCCCTATCTTCCCAATCTTGTCTGTTAATGGAGGTCAGCAAGAAGCAAATATTTCCAATGTCTAAAGCACTGCATTAGGCTCTATGGGTACATAAAGGTATACAAAGATGACTTAGTTCCCCTTGACTTTCCTGTCAGGATGAGTCACCTCTATTCTGCTCACATCCAAAATACCCTAAATTTAGCCCTATCACTAAACTTTCACACTGCATTCTTATTATTATCTCCTCCTCATTAGACTATGAATACTATGAAGGCAAGAGTCATGGCTTAGCTCTCTCTGCCTTAACAGTGCCCAGGACAAAGACTGATACCCTAGTTATGGTGAATAAACCTTCGTTGGCTGGCTAGGTGGATAACATTGCATGTCCCTAAAGAGCTCACCGTTAAGCTAGACCCCTAGAATTGCAGTCTTCCTCACCTCTTCTCTTTTCCTCATAACAATGTGTACTGCATCCACTCACTTTCTCTTCCTCTCCACTCTCAGAAGAGTAGCAAACACTACTATCTGGATTGCCTGGATTTCAACAGTCATCTCTACTGGTTTCCGCATATCCTCATTAATTATTCTCACCAATTCCCTGCAACCCAGGCCCCACAATACCACTAGAAAGATCTTTCTAAACTACATGCTATTCCCTGCATTGAAATATCCTCTTAATGCAGCTCCAGCTCAAGGCCCCACTCCTCTTCATTCACCTTACTCTCAACTCAAATCATCCTATTTGCTCCAGGCTGTCCTACTTCCATGATTTATTTTACTAACACCCTCTAACCTTCTAGCAGTCAGAAGCTTTTTTCCATTCTTCAAGATCCAATTCAAGTACATTTCCCCCCTTTAGGTTATTGTTAATTGAGTCATTTCTTTACCACTCCCACAGCATCTTATTTAGACTTTGAGCTTTGTCTGTGTTACTTATTCTCTCTTATCCTGTTACAGTTAATTGTGTGCACACCTGTTTTGACTACTACACTGGCAGGTCTTTGGAAGCAGGGTCCATGCTTCTCCCACCCCAGTGCCTATGAGGTGCTCAATAAACTAGCTGACTAGAATTTAATGACCTGCCCTACAATATTCATTTATTTTACAAATATATACTGAACACAAACCAAACAAAAAGCCATCTCTGCTCTTATAGCACTTACATTCTAATGATAAGATACAGATATTAAATGAAATAAATAAGTAAATGTATATATTTTAGATGGAGGAAAATGGTAAACAAAAATATAAATCAGGGAAGGGGAAGGGGGTAGTGAGGATAAAGTTCAATTTTCTCCCAGGTGACCAGAGAAGACCCTGCTGTAGAGCTGATAAGTAAGCAAAGACCTGATTCCATCATGACAGTGTTCCAGGCAGTGAGGCAGGTACCTGTCTAGCATAGGCAACCAGGAGGCCAGTGTGGTTGAAGTGGAATAAGTGAGAGAGCACAGAGAAGAAGGAGGTCAGAGGGGCAATGGGAAGCCAAAGCTTGTAGGGCCCTGTAGGCTATTAGGATGACCTTGACTTTAGTGTTTTTAAGATGGGTGGCCATTAACCAGGTTACATTTTGAAAGAAATTTTGAAAGAATTACTCTGTCTACTGAGTTTAAATTAGATTTTAGGAGTGACAAGGACAGCAGCAGAGACACCAGGTAGAAAGCTACTGAAGCAACACAAGATAAATAGCTACCTAATCTGTGTCTCCTGGACTTCAGCTTCTTTTTACTCAAATAAATGCTTTTTTTAATCTTTGGGGGGAAAAAGAAGAGAAAGGAATGTTAATGAAATAAGCTAGGTAAGAGATTTAATTCCATATTCTTCTAGTCCTGGACTTCCTTGACTAGTAGGCTAGTTCAGCTGGCCCCAGGTATTCAGACCTAACCTTAGCAGTTGCATAAAATGCTTCTAGGGGTTAATTTAGCTGCTCAAAGCAGAGCCAGAGCTTGTGATGTGAGTCCTTAACTGTGTTCTAAACCAAAAAGAGTACAGGAGAAATTGAAGGAAAGGGTCCAAAAACCGGGACAAATAGCCCAGAGCAATCCTCAAAGGAGTGGCCAGACTGTGCTACAAGGTATGTCAATGAAGGACATTATAATGGAGGTTTGTTGTCTGTCCACTTCCCACATCCCAAGGAAAGACAGCAAATGCTGTGCCTTTTGCAGATAAAGATACTGAATCAGAGAACAAAGTTAGAGTGAATCTGGAAAGTTATTTAGAGATCCTAACAACCAGATTATACCAAATGAAAGAAAAACCAGCTGTGAAAATCATCTAGACAAAGAAAATTCCAGGCAAAGCCTGTGAAATTACTTCAGGGCTCAACAGAAATTTCTTGATTTCCAGTAACAAAAAACTCTAGTAAGTCTATACATGCATATATAATTATAAATCTGTTGATGACATTTATTCCATTAAAGGAGATATTCCTCCCCTTAACCCAACACACAACACAAAAAAAGTATACAAAGTAAATTTTATCTTAAATGCTTAGGGAAAAGCTCCTAACAGTGGTTATCTGTGGAAGGGAACAAGGAAGAGAGAAATTTTTATTATCTACGTTATATATTTCTGTAATGTTATAATTTATTTACAGTGAGCCTATAGTTTTACTAATTAGTAGTATTAATTTTGAGGCATTAAAAAGGCAATAAAGCCCTGGCTGGTGTGGCTCAGTAGATTGAGTGCTGGCCTGCAAACTGAAAAGTCATCTGCTCCATTGCTAGTCAGACCACATGCCTGGGCTGTGGGTCAGGTCCCCATGTGGGGGTGTGTAAGAGGCAACCAATTGGTGTCCAATTGGTGTTTCTCTCCCTCTCTTTCTCCCTTCTTTCCCCTTTTTCTTTTTTTTAAAGATTTCATTTATTTATCTGTAGAGGGGAAGGGAAGGAGAAAGGGAGAGAAACATCAATGTATAGTTGCCTTTCATGCATTCCCTGCTGGGAACTGGCCTGCAACCCAGGCATGTGCCCTGACTGGGAATCAAACCACGATTGTCTGGTTCACAGGCCCATGCTCAATTCACTGAGCTACACCAGCCAGGGCTTTCCCCTTATTCTAAGAGTAAATACATAAAATCTTTTTTTAAAAGACAGGCAATTAAAAAAAACAGTAAAGACAAATACAAAAATGCACTGAGGAGCTAACTATTCAATGAAGCCCTTGGGTAAATATTTTTGAAAAGTGAAGAGGTATAATAATGTGAATAACCAAACACTACTTTATCTGTGTCATGACATATTTCCATATATCAGGGGAGGGGGGTTTGGTAATATAGTCAGGGCCTATTTTCTTAAATAATAAAAAGTAAGTAAGTTATCCAAGAAAGTTCTAAAAAACTGCTAAACAGCAATTACATTTCATTCTCTGGATATTATAATGAAAACAGATAAGCAGTTAGCAGTATGCAATGAGTTAAGGGCAATCTTTTCCAGAATCAAAGTGGCCAGACAACGTCCTGTAGTCCTATGATTGCTATTTCTCAAAAACATCTCTGAGGCATTAAGACTTAAGTCTGCTTAAAGAGATTATGGCTAAAAAAAAGGAAGTTAGTTAGCACATGGGTTCTTTTATTATTGTATTCTGCCACGGTGATTTTTAGACTAGCAGAAATGACTATGTACTGTTACATGGGCTAGAATTAGTATACAGAAGGGACATAGTTAAGGTATAACAGTTATCTGAGCTTTGAATTATTTTGTTCTTTTAGTTTTTTACTGCCTGGATGTAATATAAATACAACTTCATTTCAAAATATCTAAGCACATATTTTTCCCAGTTCTGTTCTAGTCTTATTTTTTGGCATACACGTACAAGTACAAACAGTTTCTAGTAACTGATTAAAACTACAAGATTTTTAGTAGAATACCAAGAAATTACAAGAGTCACATTCAAAAAGGCTTTCAAAAGATTCACTTACCACTGGATTTAATTTCTCTGACATAATTACTAGGGAACCAGCCTGTTCTCCCATTTAATGTGCCTTCCCACCAGCCTCCTTCTTCAACTCTAGTGACATAAATGATGTCGCCTTTACAGACTGAAAGTTCATCTTCATTAGTCTGCTTGAAGTTAAATCTTGCTTTTACAATCAACTGGTGACTTCCATTTTCCGTCATTTCCTAGAGAAACAAAAGCCACACCAGAAGAAGCACTTATTCAAATGAAGCAGGGTCAGAAATTATATGAATTTAGGTAAATTAAGTGGGGTTACCTAGGATAAAACCCCAGGTCTATCTCAGTCTTGAGGGTTTTTTTTTTTAACTTAGGAGTGAGCTTAACATGGATAAGCCTCTGGGAGGAGGGATTAATCAATCTCTGGAAACTATGCAAACTTTGGTATTTGTGAGACTGTGTATTTTGGAGGGAGTCATAATTTTAATTTCCCTCTCCCCCTACCAATTGTCTAAAGATACTTATTTAAATGATCCAGGAAACAAAGTAGAACAATAAACTATTCTTTTCTGCCTCTACCCAACACATAAGCTTATCTTATGTAATTATATGGCCAAGATTAGGTACTAACCTACTCTCATAAAATCTGCCTCCCACGTTCCAATTACTAAGAATATCCTAAATTGGCTAAGACTTAGTCATATGTAAAGATCAAATACCCCATAGTTACTAAGTCAGAAGTTCTTAATCTGTCACAAGTCCCTTTGAGAAGATGATGAGCACAACTGAACTTTACCCAAAATACATAAACCCATAAGTTCATACAAAGAAGATTTTGCATACAATCTGGGTGGGTCCAAGCAGTGTGGAACTATAGTGTTCATCAGCTTCTCAAAGGAACCTGTGATGTCAAAAGGTTAAATGCTTTAGAAATAATATGATGGCTTAAAGCAAGCGGGTGGCTTTGACAAGAAATGATGTCTCAAAAGAGCAGAAGATGGGATGTTCTCTCCCAAACAAAAGCTCTAGTAAGATAGCTTTTCAAATTCAAAGATAACTGGGCTATCCAATATAGGAGCTCAGCATAAGCCCAATATAAATACAAAGAGAAAAATGGCAATAACGATGACAATAGCAACTAATATTGATTGCCTATTGTGTACCAGGCACTATTCAGTTCCAATAAACGGAAGGATAGGGGGAAATAACAGCAAACTGCCATCAGGAAGTAGTCATAATAACATAGTTCCATAGCATTCTCAGTTGAAAAACTTTCTCAGTTTTAGGAAGAGACAGAATTCTGGACTTCAACCCAAATTTTCCTAAATTTTCTTCAACCCCAAACAACCAAAAGGTTGTTCCAGCAGGCTAGCTTGAATTGGTTCTAGGTTTAAAATTAGTTTTCTCCAGACACTCCAAACAACAGGATGGTTATCTTACTACATATGGAAATGCAACCGGGATAACTGATCTGATTTCACAGATTTTAAAACAGGCAGGGGGAATTGGGGACTATACTTACCACTGCCTTTGACTGCCTTTGCAGCCCTGGAGCTGTGCTAGAAACTGCTCCGTGTGGGTTTGTCTGAGAACTATTAGCAGCACTAAGAGAAGAGGAACGTCCACATGGTCTTTCTGATAACTGATCTGTGAAAAGAGGAAAAGGCATGGTAAAGGGAACCACTCATGTCAGAAAAACATCTACAACATAACATTATCTTTCATGGGATATTATCAAAGGCAACCTGGCTGTAATTTAACTGTTATCATTATGAATGTGCCAAGTATATTTCATCCCCCCCTCCCTTTTTGGCAGCCAACTCCTTTTTCTTAACCTTACTGGCCGTTGCTCTCCAGTAGAATGAAAAACAGCGACAGAACCACATTTTGTCTTAACCCATTTCCCTACAACTCTTCCCTCCTGAGCCAGTTGCAACAGTATGCACTGTTGTCCCAGGCAGAACTATATTGGGTACCAAACAGCTGTTTGTGGCTCTTATTACTTTGAAATATTTCAAATTTCTCTCTTTGTTTTTTAGCCTATAACTGAATGGTTCTTTTCTTCCTCACATGTAATAATGTGTGTGGCATATATCACATAAAACCTTTCTTTGCCTGGTAGGGGAGAGAAGGACGAGAATGAGAGACTGAGTGTGTCTGGGAAAGATTCGATCTTAACACCAGAATAATTTTTTTAAATCAAACTCAAGAGTCCTCTCTTCCTTGAAACCTTGTGTAATTCGATCATACCAGCACTGAGCTGGATGTTCTCAGTATGCTAAGAGTGTACTGAAGAGAGGAGCAGGCTTCTTGACAAACTCAAATGAAGGTTCTTTTCCTCTCCATTTATTTTTAAGAGATATAAACTGCAAAAGTCTAAAGCCCAAACATTCCCTAGGCGACAAGCTCAGTATCCAAGTAGTTTCCTTGATGCTATGGGTTTTAACTTTCACCTTCTTGTATTTTATAAGGGACTGTAAAACTTGCTAGGAGAGTTTGGCAAAAGAACATATAATTTGTATGGCATAATGTTAGAATTATAGGGTTCTCCCTGCCCAGAAACAGAGAGTTGTCATGTGTGTTAAATATAGTTACTCGAATTAGCTGTACTTTCTCCTCAATGCCTTGCAATAGCTCAAAAGCATTTTTTTCTAAATAGCAAAAGAACAATTTTAAAGAAGTATTTTTACATTTATTGCTATTATAAACAACTCTTTTGACTAAAACTATAATTACTTGATAGCTTCCTAGATGCTCCATCCTATTTGGCACTTGATTATATTGTCTGTTTTTCTTCCCTAATTGTTTCACATGGGTAAGTTGAGTCTCCCTAAATAGATGGTAATTTTCTCAAAGGCAGGGACCATATCTTATATTTCCTTTGTTGCACCTGGCAGTGGTGGGCACACAGTCTGTTGACTTTCTAATGGCTAGAGCAGCAAGATCCATGTTTGGGCATAAGGGCACTGGAGTCAGATGTGGGTCTGAATTCCAGCTCTGTCACTTACTTTCCAGATGAGCAAGTGTGGGCCTGACTTTCCTAATCTGTAATATAAGCCTAATAATAACACTTAAATCCAGGGTTGTTTCAAAGATTTAATGAGACTACCTAAGGGTCATAAGACAGCCTAGACCCATGGTAATGACTCAAAGCACTTTAACTATAATTATTACTGCCCAGTTGTAGGTAAGATACTATATCACAGGAAGAGAGAAGTTCTACTCTAAGCCAGCAATTTTCAGCTGGTGTGCTACAAGAATTTTTAAAACATGCAATACCTTGACAACTCTTCCCCTTCTCTCCCCCAATCATCAAGGAACATGTATAAAGGACCCATGGACAAAGCCAAAGGGGGAAGGATTGAGGGTGGGAGGTGGGGGTGGGTGGGAAGGGGGAGAGTGGTGGCAGGAAAATGGAGACATCTGTACTTGAACAACAATTTTAAAAAACATGCATTACCTGACTATTTAGTCAAGGGCACTGACCTCTTTTCCCTTAGACTGTCAAATAAAAAAATGACAACAGCCAACACAACAATAACTGTCTGGTGTAAATGCCCTGTCTTAACCCATAAATATATAGGTCTTATAATAGATGACCTATTATTGTCCATGTAAAAGATGACCTATTATTGTCACATCTTGCCCTGGCTGGTGTGGCTCAGCGGATTGAGTCTGACCTGCAAACCAAAAGGTTGCCAGTTTGATTCCCAGTCAGGGCACATGCCTGGATTGTGGACCAGGACCCCAGTAGGGGGTGTATGAGAGGCAACTGATTGATGTATCTTACACATTAATGTTTCTCCCCCTCTCTTTTTCTCCTCCTTCCCCTCTCTCTAAAAGTAAATGAATACAATGTTTTTTAAAAAAATAGAGTTGCATCTTATTGGTCACATCACATAATTAAGTTGTGTGTGATTGGTTAACTCTTGGTACCGGACAGAAATCCTTATATACAAGTGCAGGCACCTGGTTTTTATAAAAAGTCTCTGGAAGAAAAGGGGTAGGCATTACTATTTTTTTGTAAATCAATCAAAATTATACCTATTTTTGCCAGATCAGCAAAAATATTTATATTGGGACACAAAATTTTATTTTATTTTAATAGTTTATTTTTATTGCACTTTCCCATTGCCATTTATTCCCTTTTTACCCTATCCCACCTACACAACCTCCCTCCTTCCCACAATTACCACAGTTATCCATGCCATTAGAGTTTGCCACAGAATTTTAGTAATTAGTTTATATGTGCCAAGAGATGAAAAAGGTTAAAAATTGTTCCTCTAAGGTAATCATCATTTCTTTGCAATTACTAGGATTTATATTTAATACCGCCAGTGTTGTGGGTATTAATATTTAAATAAAAGATACTCTTTTCACAGACTACAAACCTGAGATTTTATTTCCAGTGCAAGGTTCGTGGGGAGTTCCTTTACATGGACAAAGATATATAGCAAACTATGAGAAAAATTTCTCTAGTGGAGAAAGGGAAGTAACATCTATAGTCTATAAACTTTATGAAAAAGGGAACTGGTCTTCTTATTTCCTGTCTTGTTACACTCAGCTGCCTATTCAACGGCTTTCAATGAAATAGTTTCTTGGTTCTTATCATTATATTAAGGGCATTAGAATGTCATCTGTGATAAGTATGTTTAAATCCTAAATCATGATGGTAATGAAAAACAATACAATAGATTAAAATAAAAATAGATCTTAAACTATGAAAAATTACACAAATTACATCACTTGATGGAGTTTATTTGTAGGGAGGGGAGAACTTTACACCAAACAATCCTAGATATAGCTGGCTCTTAGGTAATCAGAAACATGTGGAACTGAACATGTCACCCAGAACTCATAAATTACAAACCCTGCTTACCTTCTGTTGCTTTGCTGACAGCTAAAAGAGTGCTCAGAACCTTGGAGAAATGGACGCCTGAATAAAGGTCATCAGGATCAAATACCTATGAGAAAGAAAATTGAACCTGTAAGAAATTCAACTCAACAGACCCACCTATCAAAAGACCATTTCCTTTAGCTCTTAGAAAAAAAATGTCAAAGCCAAGACTCAAAACTTCTGCATGCCTTTGGGAGAAATGAAAGCAGCAGCTGAGCCGCCTAATGACATGTGTCAGGCCATCAGTGAGTCAGAGCAAAGCAGTAATGGGAAATGAGAGCCAAACTGAGAATGCAGGGCCCACCAGGAAATGCAGTGCCTACTCAGGCCCACTCTTCTGACATGAACATATCAATACTCTTAGCCCAGTTACAGGAAAGCCATATGCATGGGTTACGGTTAATACCCATCACCTACAGAATGTCCTTAAAAGTCAAAAAAGGAAGTGGAGCCTTTTTGACATTTTTTCATCTGTAATGTTTATTGTACTCAGTAAGGGCACTGTCAGCTATGCCTTTCTCTCTGCTCCTTGTCCTCTCCATTGCCACCCACTGGGTCCCAACCACCTATGATCTTAACTACATATTGCCCAGACTTTGCACCCAGATCTGCCTTTTGCTCCCAGCCCTTGTTTCTGGTTTCTGCTGCTTGACCTTAACCCCCTCAGCTCATTGGATTTCAACCTCTGCCTACCTGAGCTTAGAGATTCTTCCTAGCCTTAAGTGATTTTTCTAGATATGACTGCTGACCTTCCTGATACTATTCAACTTCAGCAACAAAACATCAAATAAATACATTTTCACTTTGCCAGTCTCAACCATCATTCTGATATACCACTGTTCTTAGTGAGGATACCAAGCAGTTGTAGTTTTAAATAAAATTCACTAATTTTAAAACACATTTAATGTATTAAAATACATTGAAACTTCTTCTAGTCTCACATATGTACATTTGAAACTAGAAGTATTCTCAAGTACAGGCAAAACCTATTAATTTGCCAGCCAATAATGTAGATACATATACCTATAAGTAACCAGATGCCCACTTTCTAGATGGAAATTCACCTACTAAAAGCATTTTGTTCCAAATCTGGCTGGTGTGGCTCAGTGGACTGAATGCCGGCCTGCAAACAAAATGGTTGATGGTTTGATTCCTAGTCCAGAACACATGCCTGGGTTGTGGGCCAGGCCCCCATAGGGGACATGCAAGAGGCAACCACATAGTGATGTTTCTCTTCCTCTCTTTCTCCTTCCCTTTTCTCTCTAAAAATAAATAAATAAAATATTTTTAAAAGATCATTTTGTTCCAAAATGTCTGTGTTTGTATTTTTCCCCCTAAATATTGTGATGGGAAAAAAATGTACCTTCTCATGTGGGACATGAGAGGGTGCAACGTTTTGAAGGATGTCTTCCCCTTAAGTAGAGCTACTGCTCCATTCCTAATGTGCCTGTTTTGGGGGAGTCATGTCTAGACGTTTTATCTTTTTGGTTTACATATTCTTGAAGATCTAAAATCCATCTCTAGAATTAAAATACATAGCATCCATTTTTTCAAATGAGGGAGCATCTATGTAAATAATATATGTAAGTGTGAGCCTATAGACGTCTGTCTACTCTGGAATCACCAGCTCTGCTATTCATTCATTGACTTATTTAAGTATATTTTATTGATTATACTATTACAGTTATCCCATTTTTTCACCCCTATATTCCCCTCTACCCTGCACCCCCCACCAGCATTCCCCCAACTTAATTTATGTCCATGGGTCATACATACAAGTTCTTTCATTTCTCCATTTCATATAATATTCTTAACCTCCCCCTGTCTATCCTGTACCTACCAATTATTCTTCTTATTCCCTGTACCTGCCCCTACCCTCCCCACTCCCCCTCCCCACTGTTACCCTCCATGTGATCTCTATTTCTCTGATTCTTTTCCTGTTCTAGTTGTTTGCTGAGTTTTTCTTTTTGTTTTTGTTTTTAGGTTCAGTTGTTGATACTTGTGAGTCTGTTGTCATTTTACTGTTCAGAGTTGTGATCTTTTTCTTAGATAAGTCGCTTTAACATTTCATATAAAAAGGGCTTGGTAGTAATGAATTTCTTTAACTTTCTTTACCTTCTCTGGAAAGCACTTTACCTGCCCTTCCATTCTAAATGATAGCTTTACTGAATAGAGTAATCTTGGATGTAGGTCCTTGACTTTCTTGACTTTGAACACTTCTTTCCAGCCCTTTCTTGCCTGTAAGATTTCTTTTGAGAAATCAGCTGACAATCTTAAGGGAACTCCATTGTAGGTAACTGTCTCCTTTTCTCTTGCTGCTTTTAAGATTCTCTCCTCTTTAATCTCGGTAATATAATTAGGATGTGCCTTGGTGTGTCCTTCCTTGGGTCCAACTTCTTTGGGACTCTCTGAGCTTCCTGGACTTCCTGGAAGTCTATCTCCTTTGCCAGACTGGGGAAGTTCTCCTTCATTTTTTTAAAAATAAGTTTTCAGTTTCTTGCTCTTTCTCTTATCCTTCTGGTATTGCTATCATTCGGATGTTTGAATGTTTAAACTTGACCTCTAAGTTCAAAGCCTGTCCTCAATTTTTTAAATACTTGTTTCTTCATTCTGTTCTGGTTGTATGTTTATTTCTTCCTTCTGCTCCAAATTGTTGATTTGAGTCCTAGTTTCCTTCCCTTCACTACTGGTTCCCTGTATATTTTGCTTTATTTCACTTTTCATAGCCTTCACTTTTTCCTCTATTTCATGACCATACTGAACCATTTCTGTGGGCATCTTGATTACCAGTGTTTTAAACTCTGCATCTGATAGGTTACCTATCTCTTCATTGCTTAGTTCTATTTTTCGATCTTTGATCTATTATTTCAGTTGGGCCATATTTCTTTTTCTCGGAACATCTGTTGTATTGTAAGATGTGGAGCTTTAGGTATACTCCAGGGTGGGGCAACTCTCATTGGTGGGTTGTGATGCTGTATGTGTGGAAGGGGTCAGAGAGGGAACATTGCCAATTGCTTGGCTCTCAACTGGCTTTCAGTCACTTTCTCCACTACCCACAAGCAAATTGTGCCTCTCTGGTGCTGATTCCCTGGTGGGTGAGTTTGTGTATGTTCCAGGACCCTGTGGCTCTCCAATAAGCTCTTCTGTGAGGGTAGGAGTCTCTCCCACTGCCAGAATCCCCACAGATTTTTATAGCCACAGGTTTTGAGGCTTTCTTTCCCTGCACTGGAACCCTGGGTTGCATGGTCTGTCTTGCTCCCCAGTTGTTCCTCCAGGTTTATACACATGCAAATGTGAGACTCCCAGCCACCACCTTGTCTGTCTAGTCCTCTATCCGTTGCCTTGCCATACCTCCTCTCTGCCCCAGCTGCCCATCTCTGCTCTTCCTACCAGTATGAATGAATGCTTTTTTTTAATTCTTTTTCTTTAAAGTGAAATTTTATAGTTTTTATTACATATTTATTTATTTATTTCTAAAGAAATGAGAAGAGAGAGTGAAAGAGAAGGAGAGAAATCTCTATGTGCAAGAGATACATCAATCTGTTGCTTCTCACATGTCCCCAACCAGGGATCTAGCCTACAGCCCTGGCATGTGCCCTGCATGTGCCCTGACTGGGAATCAAACCAGCAACCTTTCAGTTTACAAGCCAATACTCAGTCCCTTGAGCCACTCCAGCTAAGGCCTCTTTCTTAACTTCTTGGTTGTCAGATTTCCATACAGTCTGATTTTTCTGGCAGATATGGTTGTATTTTGCTTTTAAATTTACTGTTGTCCTTTTGGTTATGCAAGGAGGCAAAGTGTATTTACCTATGCCTCCATCTTGGCTAGAAGTCCTTATTCATTCAATCAATAAATGTTTTGTATTGAAACTTAAAACGATTAAAGAATGCTTTCACATCTAAAAATGATACACTAATATACTTTTAGTAAAAGGCTAATGCTAATATTACTAAAGACAATTATACTACAATCCTAACATGTTTCTCGATGCTACTGTATATTTCAAAGTTTTCCAGGAATAAATTGATGGACAAAGCCTGGGTGAGGAAGATCCAATTAACTATGGTAAGAGTATCTAGTATCCCAGGGTATTCCACACTTATTGACTCTCCCTTAACAACGATAATAGGAAAGAGTTAGTGACATATATACCAAAAGAGTAACAAGGCAAAAACATTATTTGTTTTTAGCTCATAATTTCTCACAGGAGTGTGAATATGTGTGTGTATATGAATGCATGTGTTGGATAGGTGTGGTGAATATGGGTAGAGCCTAAAATAATAAGCAAAGGTAAATGTCAGCAGAATAAGGCATGAGAGCAAAAGGCGTGATAAAAAACCTCCCTCTCTTTTTTATCCAGGTTATGCTCCCTATCCAGGTTAATTGACTGCCTATGTGTGGTAACACTAGCATTATTCACTTGTATCAGTACCTGACTAAATATGAAAACAATAAACTGATGGAAATTTAAAACATGCATCAGTAAGACTCATTATGTCTGCTTTGGTGAAGTTGCCTGGACTACACACAGTTCCTTTTTTAGAAACCTAGAGTTTACTCACAGACACTGTTCTTCTCACTGCAAGCCTATTCTGTACTACTAGTAACTACACAGGAAGGAGTTGGAAGAGGTCTCTAGGGACTAGAAGAGAAGGCAATGCCTAAGGATTGTGACTGCAGAGCATTTGGAAGATTATATATAACCATGAACACTCTCCACTGCACCACATCCTTCCAAGCCCCAAACTGAATGCTATTGAAAATTCCACCCCAGACCTTTCTTCAATGCACTAGAGATTGGTCCCCTGTTAAAATAGGAATATTATTTGGAGTGTGCACAACAATATCAGCCATTATTAGTCTTCTATATGTTAGTGGAAATGAGGAGCATAAAATCAAGTTTAGAAATGAACATGAGGAAAAAAAGCCAAGGTCACTGGTGCCCAACTGGGAAACAGCTAAGGAAAACCCATCAGTGTTAGGAATGTAAGAATAAGGAAAAATTGGTTACAGTACAGGCTGTTTGCCTAGGACTATAATTTATACATACAAAATAAAAAGCCAAT